CAACAACATCAAGCCACTGACAAAGAACAAATTAAAACATACCAAGAAAGAAAAGCTTGTGTTTTCCAGTCTAGCCTGTTGGGGCACCAGGCCCTGTCTCCAATGTCCACCCTCATCATTCCCTGGGGATGATTCTTAATCTATTCTGTCCAATTTACCGAGAAGGGAGGTTGAGCAAAGGGGACACACCGAGGTAGAGACAGACCTTAGGCACACTACACATGGATAAAATGCCACGCCTACTTACATCCTCATTTGTCGCCAAATTTGGAATCAGCCCACGTATCCTGATGCCTAGAATGGTGCAGTTCTCATTAGACCATAAAACCAGTTCCTATATTTAATTATTTATCATTCCTTTTTTCCAATTCCTATTTTAAATGCCGTCTCTCACTCTCCTGATTTATTTTGATCTATATACGAAGTATATGCTGTAATAGAATCAGTCACCAATATTGTCAGGGACAGGGCAAGCTTTCCTGTGTGTAAAGCTCCTCAGGAATATTAACAATATGGCATGGATCTTGTCCTGAAATATTGAATCTAGTTTAAACATAAGCCAGTCATTCAAACTTACTGTCTCATAAAATCATGATGGTCTCAAGTTTAGGCATATAGGAAGAGTGACAAAGAATTTAATCAAATCTAATCTTGAGTAATTTAAAAAGAGCATTCTTCTTTTATTATTAGAATTCTACTTTGCTTCAACTGCTTCTGATCTTAAGGTTAGCCTACAAAGCAGGTCACACTTTTTCCTTCTTTCGAGGAATAAGGAAGTGAAATCACTCTTTCCTCTCGTTTGGTCCTCTAGGACTCGCTAAGTTCCGGCCTGCCAGCTCCCGGTCGGCTTTGCGGCCTCAGCTCTCATCAGGCTGCGAAGGCCTGCCCACCACCAAGCCCCCGTGGGCGATGGAGCTTACGCGGAAAGGAGCAGGTACAACTCCTTGTATGTATTTAGCTTGCTCGAGAATACATCTGCACACTTCATAGAATGACTCATGGTGTAAAAAGACAAAACTAAGCTAAAACAGATGCAGATTCTAGGACTTCCTTTTCTGGCAGCACCTTGCTACTGTGCTTTTTTTTAACATTAAAGACTATTGTACATTGGACTTTTTCACTTCCCAAAGCAATATATGTTTGCTGTGACAGAAAATGTGGAAATTACAGAAACGTTGGAAGAAGGAGAAGAATCCTCCTTAGGCTGTTTAAAGATGATCAGTGTCTGACGTTTGCTCTTGGTGGTTTTCCAAAGACATGGGCCAACTTTGAGAGAATCCATCAAACCTATGACATGGTGCCTTTTTTAAATGTAAACATCAGCCATTTGTTTTCCTCCCGAAAAGTCATATAATTGGTGATTCAGGCATGAAGCCTTGGTGTACATACCTTTCTTGTCTGTACGTTATTCAGACTAATGGGTTCTAAGTTGTGATAAAGGTAATCCAACTCAGATTTGCCGTGACCTGTTCCACTGGTTCCCATGGACTCCTGCCTGTTCCTCGGGAGGGGACAGGGGTTCTGCTCCTGTGACGTCACAGACTCGGAAACTCGGGGGCAGTGCCCCCTGCCCTATCGAGGTGAGGCGACAGAGACTGGTTTAGTGTTTGCTGCTTACTCTGTCCCTCTGTTGCTTACAGAAAAAAAGATGTTAATCCAAATAGCACGTAATCAGTGCCGATGAACTTCCATGATACAAACATTCACTTGTCAAGATTTGGAGGAACAGGGAGTGAAAACAAGATATACAAGCAAAGTCATTTTTAAGGAGAAACTTATCCAAAAGTCATTAGTCAGACTTTAAAATCTGCCACCTCCTGGTTACAGTCCGACAGATGGATTTTGCGTTTATACACCATGTTTTTTTATGGTGTAAATTAAAAAGGACTGTTTAATGAGTTGAAGAGCTTAGAGTTCAATGGCGATAACACTTTAAACAAAAGTAACACCATAAAATGTTTCAGTATTGAGACCCTAGACCAGCAGTTCTCCACCTTCCTTACGCCGCGACCCTTTCATACAGTCCTCAGGTGGTGGTGATCCCCCCAACCATAAAGTTGTCTGTGGGTTTCTAGGACTATAAATCTTAAGGGGAGTTGAAAGTCTCTTCTTTCTCCTAAGGAGCTGCCAGTGAGTTTGAACTGCTGACTTTGTGGTTAGCAGTCCAACAGTAACCAACGATGCCACCAGTGCCATCTGACAGTTTCATTGTTAGGTAACATCCAGTTGGCTCCGACTTAATGACGGTGTGTACAACAGAACGAAGCACCACCCAGTCTTGTGCCGTCCTCACAATTGTATATTTGAGCCCAGTTGCTGCAGTCACATGAGAATGGGCCGAGCCATCTCTTCGAGGGTCTTCCTCCTGTACGGTACCAGCAGAAATAGGTGGTCCACTGCTGAGCAATGAGCCACTGGAAACTTGATGATACCTGGCAGCTGAATAGTCTCATACCGGTTGCCAAATTGCCTTAATTTCTCCTTTTTAAAGAATGTTTATTATGGAAAACTAATGTAGACTAGTGAATCAAACCTCATGTATCCATTTTCTAGATTAAACCGTGGTCAGCTGGTGGTCGGCCTGAGTTTAATCCATGTTGTGTGCCAGCACGTCGGTTACGACTCAGTGGCTCTCTAGGACCAACTGAGCTGCCTTGTGGGGTTTCCAATGCTGCAATCTTTACAAAAACACCTTTGCGTTCTCGTGTCTCCCCAGGGAGCAGCTGGTGGATTTAAACCAGAAAGGCGCTTTGACCACTGCACCACCAAGGCCCTTTGTGCTTAATCAGTGCCTTCACCTAGGGCCGCGGTTCTCCACCTTCCTCATGCTGCAACCCTTTCATACAGTTCCTCATGTTGTGGTGACCCCCAACCCTCAAATTATTTTTGTTGATACTTAATAACTGTAATTTTGCTACTGTTATGAATCATCATGTAAATATCTGATATGCAGGATATATTTTCATTGTTAAAAATTGAACATAATTAAAGCACAGTGATTAATCACAATACAATATGTAATTATATATATTTATGTGTTTTCCGATGGTCTTAGGCAACCCCTGTGAAAAGTTCCTTTGACCCCCAAAGGAGACCCGACCCACAGGTTGAGAACCGAAGATTCATTGTATCATTTCCTTCACAAGTATTTAACTATGTATCTCTAAGGACTTTAAACAATCCTGGCCCAATACCTTTTTAAAATTAAGTAATTTGTCAGTTAGTATCTAGCCACAGTTTGAGTTTTCAGGTTCAGCCTTCCAGTTGAGCAGTTGCCCTTGGGGTGACTGGGACTCAGAACAGCTCCGTTGGGTTCAAGTGGCTGGTTTGTCAGACTTCAAACACTAGGCCCTTCGTTCAAGGTGCCCCTGGTGGCCCCCATCAAGTGCACATCCCCTTGGTTAGCAGCCAAGCACATTAACCTTTGTACCATCCAGGGACTATCAGTTGACTCATAAATGATACTTTTCTTTTTAATAGTTTCCTGAATCAGTGATATGGTCCACGCACCTCCTGATAGACCCTTTCAAAACCAAACCCCCTGTCTTGGAGTCAGTTCTGACGCCTGGCAACCCCAAAGAACAAGGTAGAACTGCCCCTGGGGTGTCCGAAGCAACTGATCTTTGTGGGAGGAAAAAGCCTCATTTGTCTCCAGTGGAGCACCGGGTGGCTTTGAACTGCTGATTTTTGTCAGCAACTGCCAAGGCTCCAGATGTGCCCGTTAGCTCTTGTTTGGTCTAACATTTCCACTCAACCTCTCTTTTCATTTTTTTCTTCCTTCCATGTAATTTGTTGAGGAAAGTAGGTTTTTGATCTATAATTTTCAAGTCTGTATTTTGCTAATTATATACGCTTGGCATAGTTAACCTGCCTAACTTCCTGTAAATGTGTGGTGGCATCTGTAAGCTTGGAGGGATTCAGGATCACAGCTTGAGGCACACAATACTGGGTCGACTTGTTTCTGTGCTATTTGTCGGTCATTAGTTCACTCCAGGCTGTGGATGGTGACATTCCAGTTCACCCTTCTATCCTTTCTTAAAAGCTAAACTAGTCCTGTAAAGCTGAATTTCGCCTCACCAATGGTTTTCCCAGCAGAAAAGAGAGAGAAGTAGTGTGTTTAATAGTGTTTAAAATAGTGACTTGGTTGACTTGCATCCTCCTGTGGTGATCAATCAGTCTTTTGTTTTTAAAGAATCCTTATGAACTCGGATTTAAATATGTGTGTTACAGTTTTGGTGGTAGAGTGGTTACTTGTGGGGCTGCTAACAGCAAGGTCAGCAGTTTGAATCCACAGGCCAGTTCTCGGGGGAAAGAGGCTTTCTACTCCTGTAAAGTGTCAAAGTCTCCGAAACTCACAGAGGGGGGCAGCTCTACTCTGTCCTGTAGGGTTGATCTGTGTGAGGCTTTTTTGGTTAACAGTTTTAGCGTACTGCAGTTATTATCTTTATCGAACCTAAAATTGTCCCATCTCTGAAAATTGAAAACCTTTTCTTAAGTTGACCCCGACTTTCACTTCTGTGCTATTATTTCCAGTGCCTCAGTCTCGTCTTGGAGATAGATGTCTGAGCCACAAATTCACGGTTTGTCCTGCTTTCCTAACTCCGGGAATCCTTGGAGCCCGCTCTTCCTGTGCCTTCTCCATAGAGACTGCAGGATTGGCAGTCAGTGTATTTTTCCTACAAAATATAAGGCCACTAGGCAAGAGACTGACTCCGTTTTTGAAGTGGTTCTAAGAACTCTGGATAAGAATGCACGCACGCACACTTGGTTGTTCATTTGGCAGTCCCACTGCTGGGAAGTGCGGGGCTTAGCATAACCCTTGGCTTCTCTGCAGGCCAGGTAGCCTGGCAGGTTGGCGTTAAGGATGTGCTTACTGAGCGCTCCCAAGAGTGCAGCTAGCCAACTGGAAAGCTGCAAAGCCTGGGATGGGATAACCGCGTTGGGAGAGGAGCGCGAGGGAGCTGTTTCCACCTTGTTACATCTGACTCTGTTTGTGCGGTCTGGCCTGTTTGTGCAATCAGCAGCATAGTCATGCTAATTTGTTTGAAGCTGAAATTAAAACTATATGAGGGGCCTTCAAACAGTCATGGAAAACTGGAACTAAAAGATAATCCATCTTCGTTGTGTGACGCACTGGACTGAAAGGATCCATTGGATCATTCCCAAGTCTTTCCTCTCCTGTTGCCCGTGGGGGTTTCGGTAGGGGTTGTGAACTGTGCCCTGACCAGCGGCCCCGTGTGGAACAGCACAAAGCACTGCTGTGTCTCTCTGTGTGTGAGTCTATGGGAGAGCCCCGCTGAGGCACCAGTTACATTACATAACCCATTTATTTAGACTTGATAATTACATAAAATTATCATGTAAGTAAAAATATCGTGACAATGGCGCAGGATCAGGCAGTGGTTGGCTCTTTTGGGCATAGGGCCACTGTGGGTCAGAACCGGTTCTGTGGCACCTGACAACAGCGCTTAGTGTAATTTTGTGTTAGGACTATGTGAGTCATCTGTGAGGACAGAAATGTCGTCAGTTTTTCTCTCGGGCTAAAAGCCTGGCACAGAAAGTGCAGTTGTTCCCTAGCCCCCGCCAACGTGCCACCGCACACACCAAAAAAAACTCCCTGTGCCTTTGAGTTTCCGAGCCTTAGATCTTCACAGGAGCATGACCGCCTCATCTCTCACCCATGGAGCCACTGTGGAGTTTGAACCTCTGACCTTGTGCTTAGCCCCTTAATGCATAGTGCACTACACTGCCAGTCCTTCCGAGTCCCCTCGCTGTCTGTCCTGTGACGGTCCCTCCTGTCAAGGGGAATTAATCTGTGTGCTTTGCATTTGGAAGGGAAAGAGCCGTCGCCTCTGGAGATGAGCATGCACCCGGCGGTGGCAGCGGCCGCCGCTCCACTCTCGGTGTTCAGCAAGGAGCCGGCCGCCTCCAAGCACAGCGAGCACCACCGGCACCACCACCACGAGCACAAGAAGAAGAAGAAGAAGCACAAGCACAAGCACAAGCACAAGCACAAGCACGACAGCAAGGAGAAGGACAAGGAGCCCTTCACCTACCACAGCCCGGCCAGCAGCAGGTCCGTCCGCTCCCCGTCCCTCTCCGACTGAGGCCGCCCCGGGAGAAGCCGTGAGAACAGAGTAGCCGCTTTGCCTCGGGGAGAATGAAAAAAGGGCAGGGATCTATAAAAAGACAAAAAGACAAAAAGAAGGAGTTGCCTCATGGAAATTCAGACTCCATTTAAATTCTCAATATTGGATTTGCATTATTGATACAGTTGAGATCTAGTTGGGAAAGAGTACTGTCTGTTTTGGTTCAACCATTTTAGTCCCCTGTTCTCTCTCTGAAACACGCTCCCAAACTGCTCGTCAGATGGTCAAATGGCCATTGGCCGACCCCCCCACCCCCCACCCCGTGCTTTGGTGCTGCAGCCACGGTTAGGTTGTGTGCAGAGCCACCTGCCAAACCCTGGGTGACGCAGCAGTGGGGCCTGGCGGACGCCGCTGGACAAGGCCGCAGGCCGGGGTACGGTGTGCGCGCCTCTCTGTTACACCGGGTTTTGTGGTGTCCAGCGCAGGATGTATGAATACAAATACATTTTCTTTTGCCCTGAAAATTCCAGAAGCAACTCTTTTGTTTATTGTTTTAATCTTGAATGACTATCTTTTAATCATACCATTCAGTGACTGTGATGTTGGCATTTTACCAGAACTGTCAAATCCACAATTGTTCTCAGATCAAGATGTTGAAATTATGTAAGGTTCTTCGCTGTTTTTCTTGGTGAGGCAGCTTCCCCTCCCCCTCCATTAAGTCTAAGGAGTATGTTCATCTGTAAAATAGGTTCTGCCTGTATGGACAATTGAACAACATTAACCCACCCACACAGTCTCGTTCTCAAATGATTTTTTATAACACAGTTTGTTACTGTAAACAAGTGACTTTTCATACTATTTATTCATTTGGACATAAGTTATTTGGCCCTCATATGAGGATATACCAGAACCCTTTCAAAACAGCTATGAAGTGTTTTCATTTTATACTTGAATAGTTTGTATAGTTGTGTGTTTTTAATCTTCTCAGTTTATTATGCGCTTTATTGTTTTAAAGTGTTTTCTTGACCGGTTCAATTTTTTTTTTATCATTTCTCTTATTATAAAATTTGACAAAATACTTTGTTCCAGAATAATTATTTCAAAAAGGATCCAATTAACAGTGGACTTTTTTTTAACAGTGGACTTTTAAATATACTTTTAGTTGTGCTTAACTTGTTTAATAAAGAACTCTAAAAATAAATCATTCTGCCATTGTATCTTTTTGGTTTTTGATATCCTTGTGTGTGTGTGTGTGTGAGTGTACTATCTTTTTGTTCCCCTGAACTTTACTATATCTACTGCCATAAGTACAGTATCCCTATCCACAAGGTTTGAGGAGAGGGTTTTTTTGGTTTTTGTTTTAGGAGAACTTCTTGGATGGATAGGTGAGAGTTGGGCTGGCTTATTGGGAAGGATGATTGCACTAGACCGAGGTGGTAACGTTCTGGCAGGAGAAGTAGTATCTTCAGAGGCACATCCGGGTTGGGAAAGCGAAGCCTTGGACACGGAGCACCAGGCGTAAAGAGAATGTGGTCATACGGTGAAGACCCCAATGGCAGTTACTTAAAGATGCCAATCATTTACTGAGTGTGTTGAGCAGAAGTGAAACGCCAGCATGGAGTATCTTGGGTGAGAGTGTACTGATACCAAATATAAGATTCTATGCTTTGCCAATGCAACGGGCCTATTTCAGAAGCCTTGTTTGTGTTGTAGGAAGACCGTGGCAAGTGATAGTTACCGGCCAAATGGACACCCCTCGTGTGTGTATTGCTCACTTGGATGCGTCTTAGGGAAGCATTTGATGGCGCGCTCTTGATTTCAGCTGGCAGTTAGGAAAAAACCGTGCCAAAGTTGCCTTTCAGCAAACTTTCAAATTACGCTTTTGAAATAGGTAATTATATGCAACTCGTGTAATCCTCCCCTGCAGAGGCGCTGGGAGAACCTGAATGACGTCACGTTGGGTCATTGCTTGCCAGTATTGTCTGAGGGGACGTAAAAAAGTTTGTGGGAAATGGAATGAAAAGAGCCTGGGGTTTTCCATGACTGGTGAATCCCCCATGTATGTTTCTTTCTGGGGCCCATATCACAGGAAACACACGCTCTACAGGACGTTCTTGTGGAGCTCCCATCGTTTCTGAATCTGAGGCGTCACACAGGGAAAGGGCGAAGAGCTCTTTGAGTTGCTGCCTTTTATTGGCTTAAGGAAAGTCTTTGGTGGCTTCTCTGACAGTAGTTTTTGTGTGTGTGTGTGTGTGTGTGTGTGTGTGTGTGTGTGTGTGTGTTTTCGGCAAAGACCTTTTTTTGTTCTGAAGGGGTTTTCTACTAGGGGCAGCCCTAATGCCCCAAGGCTGGGAACCTGTGAGGGCCAGACCGTGACAGGACTGTGTTGTTTTTCCGAGTCTCAAAGGTCGCCTGCCTCTGTGGAGAACCCTTGCCCTCACCTCTTCCTTCTCTGCCAGCTCATCACTCCGCCACAGGGGCAGCCTTCCACAGGTTCAACCCCAGGGGCCTACATTCTGACGGGATGAGGCCTGACCCTTTCGGTTTTGCATCCGAGTGAGAATACAATTGGGACACACAATTTTGTTCCCAAATAGTTTCCAAGCAGCTTTGCACTTCTGAATGTGGTGTTCAGGTGAGCAAAGGCAGGGAACGAGCAGTCACTGCTTTCTAGGCTGCACAGGGAGGGGAAGGTGCCAGTGGGATTTTAGGCAAGACTATTCTGTCTTGGGTGGGATTGTCCCATGCGTTACTGCACACTGAACATCCTGGTCTCAGCCCACCTGATGCGAGTAGGATGCCCCGGCATGGCAAGGTCCAGCCCCCCCCCCACACACACACGTGCATCTTGCCCTCTGCAGCAGAGTTCTGCTCAAGGTTGAAAGCCATGGAGCTCACAGTCTTCCCCCAGGTTCTCAGCATCGTCAGCTCACGAGAGAGAAGATTATGACATTTCTGTACAGAAAATTTGCACAGTTCCATTAACACACAAACCCAGACTTCATTCTGATCATAGTTGCTACTCACTAAGCATCTGTCTTATGGCATGGCACTAAACCCGATGGCAGCAAGTTTGGTTTGGGGCCTTTTAATTGTGAAACAAGTGTCAGAACCCTCATTTTTAAGAAACTCTGGGGGTGCAGTGATTAGATGCTTGTCTGCTGATCAAAAGGTCAGCAGTTGGAACCCACCTGCTACTCTGATGAGGCAGTCTAATTCTGTAAAGGCTGATCTGATCCTTTCAGGAATGCCAAGGGGCCACCCACTCGCTCCCCTGTGTAGGGACACAATGAGTCTGAGTCATCCCGATGGCCATGGGTTCGCTTGTTTGCTTTTCCTCCTCCTCTTACAGGTCAGGACACTACTAAGTGCACAGCATGTGATTTTATTTCTCATCAAACATCATGTGCACTCCGTGGGTGAGGCAACAAGATAAGGCCATGAGTAAGAGAGACCCATTTCTGTCCTTGGGGAGCTTGAGTTTGCGTAGCTACAGCAGTGGAAGGGTGAATAATTTGGCCCGGAGAGTCATGTCTAGAACAACCCCCTGCCTCCCACTTCTCCCCCTGCCACCACCCTTGTTATCTTCTTGAAGAAGAAGAATCCAAATGAATTGGACAGTGGACAGCAACTAACTACAATGGTTAGTCGAAGGCATTGGACAGCAACTAACCACAATGACCACCACGGTGTAGGAACTTTTCTGGTCTTTCTCCTCAGGCCTCCTGGAGTCATGTGTGCACAGTGCGTTCCAGCCAGGTGCAGCGCACAACCTGCACAGCCAGAGCTCAGCAAGGGCCCAGTCCTTGCCTAGAACACTTTTCCTTCAGAGCCCCTCCTACCTATGGAAGTTATGTCTTGCATCAGGATGGGGCAAATGTGTGTTGTGCAGGCTCTGGCAACCAACCAGCCAGCCAGCCAACTGCCCAGCCATCTTCCCTTCCCTTCCATCCCTTTCGTTCATCTTTGCAGTATTTTTGTTGAATACCCACTGTTTTGCTGCGTTTCAGGGCTAGGGTTGTGGTGGTTGGTGCCCTGCACCATGCTCACAGTTGTTTTGCTTGAACCCATGGTTGCTTTCGCTGTGTCCATCCATCTTGCCGAGCATCTTCCTTACTTTGGCTGCCCCTCTATTTTACCAAGCATGCCCTCCAAGAACTGGTCTCTCTTGACAACATGCCCTAAGTACACGAAAGTCCCACCCTCCGTGCTTCTAAGGAGCATTCTGCGTGCACTTCTTCAAAGACAGATCTGTTTGTTCTTCCAGCAGTCCACGTTGCTCTCAATAGTCTTCACCCCCACCGCGATCCAAAGGCATCAATTCCTCGGTCTTCCTTGGTCCATGTCCAACTTACTTATGCATCTGAGGTGACTGAAAATACCATGCCTTGGGTCAGGTATACTTTACCCCTCAAAGGAACATCCGGGATTTCTTAACACTTAATTAGGATAAAGGGGTTCCTAAGACAGTCCCTGTTCTCAATGAGGACGCCGCTCAGCTTTAATCTGCCCACTCGCCCCTTCCCCGTTGCAGATACAACTCTTGCAGGGATGATTCCCCATAGTTTATTAGCCATTGTGTTCTCCCGGGTTTTCACTGCCATGAGTTTGCCCTGAGCATTGCTCGGAGTAACACAAATGCACAGTTGAGTGGGATTCTTGACTGGCGTGGCAGGTGGGTGTGTGCGCAGCACACTGGCAGCACGCGGCGACGGCAGCGTTTTCTCCAAAGCAGCGGCTGCATAAAGGAAAGCGTTGTCCTGCTCTCAAGAAGAAGAAGCAGTGAGCTGCAGCGGGAGGATCAATTTGTTTTTGCTGATGTGTGATGGGCCACGAGTTCTCGCTAACGCTGTAGAGGAAAAGGAAAGGGGCCCACCAAACAGGACAGAAAAGGCATAGCTATGTTCTTTTTCAAGGTAAATGTTTACCCCCAAAACCTGTTGCTTGGATGGGTGATGCGTCACCGAGGGCAAGGGTCATTCTTTAGCTTGTTTATAATACGTGTTCTTCCATAATCATCGAATGTCACGACTTTAACACAAGCTCAGTTTCTACTGAGTTTAATTTGAAAGTAGAGTTTGATTTTTATTCCTGGCCAGAGAGGAAGGACTAAAACTGGGCAGATTATGGTAATAGAAATCGGGAGACCTGGGTTCTGTGTCCCAACTTTGGGATGCCTTCAGGAGGTCTCGTGGCAGAGCAGTTATGCCTCAGCTTCTGAACCACAATATCAGCAGTTCAAAACCACCAACTGCTCTGCAGGAGAAAGACAAGGCAAGTTAAAGTCTCAGAGACTCACAGGGGCAGTTCTACCCTGTCCTGCAGGGTCACTCTGAGTTGGAACCGACCCCATGGTAGAGCACTTGATATTGGTTTAGATATGCTAACACACGCCTCAGGTAGAGACCCTACAGGACTCAGTGGATCAAGACGTGAAGGACTCACTGCTCCCCTTTGCCAGCAAGTCCATTCTGAGACACGGTGATTCCAGGGGTGTTGGAGTAGAGCTGAGCTCATAGTGGCTGATTTTCAGAAGTAAATTCTTGTGTTTCTGAGGAGCCTCCAGGCACGTTCGAATTTCCCACCTTTTCGTTAGCAATCAAGGATGCTAAGTGTTTAACCCACCACAGGGATCCTGGGTCTTAGTCTTGGGAATGGTCTTCTGATTCACCGGGCAGCTAGCTACCTAAGATGCGGTTGAAGCCACCCAATGAAAACGTCAACAACAACCAAAGAGCTATAAGCCACTGTTTGATGAAGCATGGGAACCAAACACCAACCTTTCAGGGTACCAGCTGGCTCCTCGCACAACGGAAAATAACTGCAGGAGAATCAAAACCTGATGTGTGAATTGTCCCCTCCAAGCACGACGTTCAGAAGATGTTAGAAGCTTTTGCCAGGAAAATAGACATCTCTGTTTTCACTTAGAAAACCTTACCATCACTAATCAAAACCACAATATTTTAAGAATGATGCCTTCCCCCCTACTGTGTGAAAGGACTTGGTTCTGTATTTGCAAGGTGTAAGGAACATGCGAGGGCCGGGGCCTCCTGTATCATAACTTCATGATAGAATAACTGTGCAGAGGTGTCTGGGAAGCAGATTTCTAACCAAGGACAAGTCTGTATGAAATCAGTAGAAGTGGAACATGTGGCTCCCAATT